ATTCAAAAAGTTTATTTAGAATATTTAATAACAAGATAGTAAGGATAGAGAAGGTAAGGTTGCGAAAATTATTACAAACAATTGCATGCTACTTAACAGAGCTGAAATCACTGAATAAAGTAGAGCTGATCTCTCGATTTGAGCCTGCTCATCCATGGAACCCACTATTCAACAGAGTCCACCCCCCAAAGCCGCCATTCCCTCCAGGGGAACTGATCTCTGTAGCCTGGAAATCAGTTGTAATTCCGGGACCATTCCACGCTCCACCTGGAGGTTGGCAACACTTGGTTCAGTGCAGGTCACTCGCCATTTCTCCTGCGATGGGTTAGGGGCTGAATTCTGCCTGGGGTGGGGAGAGGGGCAAAGGGCCGCTCAATTCCAGCAGGACCCTGTGGGTCTCTTGCTCTCCCCTCCCCCTTATTTATTTAGTCATTCATTCATTTCGATTTATATCCCGCCTTGCCTGGCAAGCAGGCTCAAGGCGGCGTACAGTACTTAAAAAAAACGCAATAAAAACAAATAAAATTCCAACAATAGTACATAAAGTGCAGATTAAGTACAATTAGCAAAGTGCGGACGGCAGGGCTATATTGGGGCAGGAACGCACAGGAACGGAGTTCCGGCTGGCTTCAGAGTTGGCCACGCCCACTACAGCCAAAACCTCTGCATGCGTGGCTACAGAGGGAGGCCTGGAGGGCCGCCTCCCCCCCCCCGGTGCCTCACCGTGCCTTCCCCAGCCTGTCCAAGGGTCGGCTTGCCCTGGCTCCCAGGCAACCAAGGGAAGGCATGGGGTGTGTGGCCTAATATGCCAATAAGCTGTGCTCTCAGGGGTGTGGCCTATTATGCTAATGAGTTTCTGTTGTTGGGTGTGGCCTATTATGCTAGTGAGTTCCTGCTGGGCTTTTTCTACAAAAAAAGCCCTGGCGGGTGGCAATCGTTGTAAGATGGCCCAGTATGACTAGATCGGTATCCCTGGCGAAGTGTCAGTAATAGATGTTTTCCGTAGCTCGTTCATCAGTGGCAGCTCCTAATCAAAGGCCTGGTGGAAGAGCTCCGTTTTATAGCCCCTGCGGAACTGTGAAAGGTCCCGCAGGGCCCTGATGTCCTCCGGGAGCTCGTTCCGCCAGTGTGGAGCCACCACCGAGAAGGCCCTAGATCTGGTGATGGCCAATCTGGCATCTTTTGGACCAGAGGGACAGTCAGGCGGTATTGGGTCCCCGACCTCTGTGCTTTCTGGGGAACATATGGTAATTCTGCTCCTAACATTGCATTAAAAAAGCTTGGCCCTCTTTCATACAGCTGTTGTCGTGACATTGCTGCGTGTTTTGTAACAAGCCTTTTGGAACTGCAGGGGGACCCTGACCTGGCCGGATGGCCGGAACTACGTCGGAGACTTCAAAGAAGGCTTGGAGCATGGGTAAGGAGGTCTCTCTCCGTAAGCAGGCCGATGGGAACCCCAAAGTCTAGATCAGATGGGCCAAAGTGATAGGAAGGAAGCTCTGGGTTGGAGCTGGGAGGACCTTCTGAACGGTAAGGACCCAGTGATGAGAAGATTAACTCCCTGGGTGGAGCAGGGCTGCCAAGTCCCTCCTGGTGACGGGCAGAGTATGGGGGACTTAGGAGAAATAGGAAGGCCCACGTGATGGGCGACGTCACTTCCTGCGTGCAAAGGAAGTGACATCACCATGTTGTCGGCCATGTTGCCTTCCTCTCTCTCCTGGTAAGTCCTCTTGCTGGATAAAAAAGAGAAAAGGGAAAAAAAACCTGAACCTAAAACCTAGAATTCAGAACCTAAAAAGGTTAGTCAAGAATAGAAGAGGGCCAGCTCTAAAAATCTAATTATGAAACATACAAAAATATACATGTATTTATTCAACACAGATTAAAATAACAAATAAGGGCCCATTCATACCTCATATACAAATATAAAAACATGCAAAGGCTAATGAAATAGACCTAACGCGTTTCGGCCTTCACAGGCCTTCCTCAGAGGTCTAATACAAATAGAACATGTTGGCTGATATGTAAAAATATATACAATCATACATATACAAAATATGAAATAAAGACCAGAAAACAGTTGTTCCAAAGTTTAACCACTGGGCAAAGAAAAGAAATACAAAAATACAAATGAAGCCTCCAGTGCAATCACATGTCCAGTAGTACTTCTCTCTGGTCAACTATATATTCTCCTGAGATTGTACATCCAAATGTTCCCAATAAAATGTTCCTTAAGTTAAAAGCAGCTTTTTAGGTTCTGAAGTCCTCTTGCTGGCCAGCTGATTGGCGGCGGGGTGGGTGGGGCCTGGTGGTGGCAGAACCTCGCCTCCACCGGGGGAGCGGACAACCCTAGGATGATGGGGAATGCTCCATTTCTGGACAGCCACCTGGGAGCGGGAGCTGTAGCCGTCGAGTGTTTTTGCATTGGATTCAGTAGTCTCCAGCATTGCTTCCAACTCTGTGGTTCTATGGGCAGTTATTCTCGCTTATCTGAATGTGGCTCGTGTTGATGCCTCCGCTTCCCGACTGCAGGTTTGGGATCTGCCTCGTCCCCCGCGTGTCGGAGGATCGCTACGACTGTTACAAGTGCCACTGGCAGGAAGGCAAAATGAGCGGCTATGGGATCTGTGAGTAAGTAATCCTGCAGAAAAGCGGCTTCGGCAGAAGCCCACCCCCTCGCCCTCCTTTCCCTCCCTGGGTCCACAGATCTGTCTGTCTGTCTAGCCAGTTTGGTTTAGTGGTTAAGTGCACAGACTCTAATCTGGGAGAACCAGGTTTGATTCTCTACTCCTCCACATGCCACTGCTGGTGTGACCTTGGGTCAGTCACAATTTCTCTCAGAGCTGTTCTCTCAAGGGCAGTTTCTGTCAGAGCTCTCTCAGCCCCACCTACCTCACAGGGTGTCTGTTGTGGGGAGGGGAAGGAAAGGAATTTGTAAGCCACTCTGAGACACCTTTGGGTAGTGAAGGGCGGGGTATCAATCCAATCTCTCCTCCTCCTCCTCCTCCTCTTTCTTCGTCATCGTCTGTCTGTCCGTCCGTCTTCTACCATTGTCTGTCTATCTATCTGTCCATCTTCTATCTGTCATCTATCAATCATCTGTCTATCTATCTGTCTATCTATCTGTCTGTCTATCTTTCTATCTATCTGTCTGTCTGTTTGTCTATCCATCCATCCATCCATCCATCCATCCATCCATCCATCCATCCATCCATCCATCCATCCATCCATCCATCCATCCATCCATCCATCCATCCATCCATCCATCCATCCATCCATCCATCCATCCATCCATCCATCCATCCATCCATCCATCCATCCATCCATCCATCCATCCATCCATCCATCCATCCATC